TAAGGTTAGTTTAATTAACATCAAAGATCAACCAATGCAATTTAATATTAATAGAAAAAAATTTTTCATATTTTTGAGACAGAGTCTCACTTTGTTGCCCAGAATAGCATATCATGGCATTAGCCTAGCACACAGCAGCCTCAAACTTCTGGGCTCAAGCAATCCTCCTGCCTCAGCATCCCGAGTAGCTGGGACTACAGGCATGCACCACAATGCTTGGCTAATTTTTTCTATATATTTTTAGTTGGCCAATTAATTTCTTTCTATTTTTAGTAGAGACAGGGTCTAGCTCTTGCTCAGGCTGGTCTCGAACTCCTGAGCTCAAACAATCCACCCGCCTTGGCCTCCCAGAGTGCTAGGATTACAGGCATGAGCCACCGTGCTGGGCCTCATATCATTTTAATGGATATAAAAAAAGTAATAAATGGCTAGGCACGGTGGCTCATGCCTGTAATTCCAGCACTACGAGAGTCCAAAGCAGGAGATAGCTTGAGGCCAGGAGATCAAGACCAGCCTGGGTAACATAGCAAGACTTCACATCTATAAGAAATTTAAAAATTAGCTGGGCATGGTGACAAACGCCTGTAGTCCCACTACTCAGGAGGCTGAGGCGGGAGGATTTGCTTAAGCCCAGTGGTTTGAGGCTATGATTGCACCATTACACTCCAGCCTGAGTGACAAAGCAAGACCCTGTCTCAATAAAGAAAAGAAAACCATAAAAGGAAAATCCAACATCATTTCATGATATAAGTCACTGAAAACCAGGAATAGAAGGGAACTTCCTCAACTTGATTAAGGGCATCTGTGAAAAACCTACAGTTAACATCATACTGTATAGTGAAAGGCTCCATGTCTTCTACCTAAGATCAGGAACATGGCAAGGATGTCTGTTCTCAACACTTCTACTAAACATTATACTAGAGGAACAGCCAGTGCAGTAAGTCAAGAAAATAAATAAAAGCATAGGGGTTGGAAATAAGGTAAAATTATATTTACAAACATGCAGTACATGTATGTATGTAGAAAGCTCCAAGGAACCCATAAGCATGTAGAACAAATAACTGAATTTAGTAAGGTTGAAAGATACAAAAATCCATTGCATTTCTATATGCTAGCAACAACCAATCATTAATAGAAAATAAATTTTAAAAACAACTCCAAAATAGTATTTAAAAAATATTTAGGAACAAATTTAATGCAAAATGTGAAAGTCTCTTATGTAGAAAACTAAAAGTATTACAAAGAGAAATTTAAGAAGAACTAAATTGCAGGGTGTGGTGGCTCATGCCTATAATCCTAGTACTCTGGGAGGCCAAGGCAGGAGGATCGCTTGAGGCCAGGAGTTTGAGACAAGCCTGGGCAACGTAGTGAGACTCCATCTCTAGAAAAAGTACAAAACTTAGCCAGGCGTGGTGGTGCATACCTATAGTCACAGCTATTTGGGAGGCTGAGGCAAGAGGATCTCTTGAGCCCAGGTGAGACTCTATCTCAAAAAAAGGAGAATGAGGGAGGAGGAGAGGAGGAGAGGGAGAGGGAGGAGAGGAGGAGAGGAGAGGAAGGAGAGGAGAGGAGAGAGGAGAGAGAGAGAGGGAGGGAGAGGGGAGGAGGGGGAGGGAGGAGGGGAGGAGGAGAGGGGGAGGAGAGGAGAGGAGAGGAGAGGAGGAGGAGAGGAGAAGGAGAGGAGAGGAGAGGAAGAGAGAGGAGAGGAGAGGAGAGAGAGGAGAGGAGAGGAGAGAGAGAGAGGAGAAGAGAAGAGAAGAGAAGAGAAGAGAAGAGAAGAGAAAAATAAACCAATGGAGAGACACACCATGCTCATGGATACGAAGGTTCAATAGTGTTAAGAAGGCAAATATGAGCTGCAGATTCAATGCAATCACAATTTAAAAACTTAATAGGCTTTTTGAAAGAAATTAACAAACTTATTTTAAAATTTTAATGAAGAAGAAAAAGATTTAAATAGCTAAAAACAATTTTAAAAAGAACTTTAACACTGGCTATAAAATTATAGTAATCATGACAGTATGATGCTGCCATGAGGACAGACATATAGAATAATGAAACAATCAACACTAATACTGACAACCAATTTTCAAAATATGTGTTAAGTTAAACTTTTAAGTAAAAATTAAATCAAAATGGATCACAGACATAAAGAAATAAAACCATTAAACTTCTGAAAGAAGGAAAAAATGTTTGTAACCTTGGGTTAGACATAGATTTCTTACATAGAAGACCAAAAGCATAAACAATTAAAAAAAAAAAAAACCTGACAAAATGGATGTGATAAAGATAAAAAATTCGGCTCTTTGAAAGATAGGTTAAAAAAAAAAGTAGAAAGGCAAAACATAGACTGGAGTAAAAAACTGCAAAATGCATATCTGACAAAAGGCCTATATCCAGAATTTGTAAAGAACTCTTATAGTGAAAGAGTTAAAGGAGAAACAGCTCATAAAAAAAGTAGAAAAGTTATGAACAGAAACTTCATAAAACAAAATAGAGGATTGGCCAATAAGCACATGAAAAGATGATCAAAATCCTTAGTCTTAAGAGAAATGAAAATTAAAACCACAATAAGTTACCACTACAAACCCAAGGAAATAACTAAAGTCAGAAAGACTGATAATATCAAGTGTTGACAAAAATGAGACAACTGGAACTCTCTCATATATGGCTGTCTTCCACAGATCCTCACTGTTTTCACTTGAAAATTTCATGTTTATTATACAGTGGCTAGACTTATGTGGTTACCAAGAAAACAAGTTAGACTAAAAGTCATCCATTGGTAAAATAAAACCTTTAAATCTGGATATGAGGGAGTAATGCATTTTGAATGCTAGTAAAGTGGTATCATTACCACACAATGGTAAAGGTTCAAAAGTTCTATTCACATTTAGTATAGCAGTATATTTAAACTCCACCTTTACCTGATAGGTATCAGTTTGACTCAAATTTAAATATAGAGTATACCCAATTCTAAAATTAACTTTAGACCAAGCATGTTTAGACAGGATCCAGGAACCACTAAATTTTCTCTTTTAATGTTATATATATACTATTTTAACAGGCTTGGCTGATGTACATTTAATTTATTTAGGAGCATATATTATAAAACTATATAAATAAAAACCTATAAATTACCCTTCATGGTTCATGCTAAAGTAAACTATCCATTAACAGTTTTAAGGATTTTCTCTTGGATGAATGGTTTGTACCCTTTTATCTTGGTCTATCTTAAATCAAACTTCAAAAAAAATGTGAGTCAGTTCAATTTGGGTATATCTTCAGGGGAAGGAAAAAGGTGAAAGAGTCTCTAATAATTTGTTATATGCCACCATGTGCAGAATATATTATCTTGTTTAAACACAATAACCATATATCATAACATAATCCCATTGTTAAAGAAAATGGAGTTTAAGAATGTTAAGTAATTTGCCTTATTACACATATATACTATGTGGTAGAAATAAATTATGAAACCTGGTCTGTCTGGCTGCAGGTTGTCAAGACCCAAGAAAGATTTAATTTTAGATGAAATATTTAATTTATTTGTGTTATAACTAATAAGTACATTGTACAAAATCAAAAGCTATAAAGAATTCTAGACAGAAAGAAAATTTCTGTACCATCCCTGCTCTATGGTCATTCAGTTCTCTCTCCAAAGCAGTTGTTTCCAGAGATAATTCAATGCATATATAAGCAGATCCATTTGCTACATCCGTTTTTTTAAAAAAAGAAATGGGTGTAAGAAATATATATACTGTTCTTCACCTTTTAAAAAAATATTTAGCAATATCTCTTGGAAATTATTCCATGTCAATACTATAGCTACCTTGTTTTTAAATAGTCTCCTAGTATTCTTCTATAGGGATACATATTTTTAACCTGTCCCCTATTTAAGTCTTTTCCAATCTTTAGCAATTACTAATAATGTTGCACTGATTTTGTCTGTCATCCAGAATTTCACATAAGACTGAATTTATCAGTAAGAATTTAAATCTAGATAAGAGTATGAGAGGTTCTGTATATAGGAATTGAAGTAATTTATACTTCACACAGCAATACATAAGACTCTTTCACTACAATCTCATCAACATAACACTGTGAAATATTTGGGTCTTTGTCAAACTTATAGTTGGATAAAAAAGATATTTCAGTTTACAGATTTTAGGTTTTACAGTATTTCAGATTTTAGGTTTACATTGATTTATCTTATTATAAGTGAGGTTGGACACTTTTTCTGTTGGAATGTTAGATTATACAAATTCTTAGCAAAAATATTAGCATTTTGTCTATGATAGGTTGTAAATATTCTTTCTGTCTCTTGTCCTTTTTTGTTATTTAGGGTATTGTTTCCTATGTGGAAATATTGTTTTTATGCAGTCAAACTGATCAATTTTGTGTGCCATTTGGATTTTATAGCAAACTTAGCTTTTCCATCATGCTTTCATGGTATGTCATATTTATCTTAGTATAAGCTAGGAAAAGGAACTTCTGATTCTCACTCAAAAGCAATGCTTCTCTGAGGCTACCACTTTTGGTCTCACAGTCTTTCAAATAATTTCCCTATCTCTTGTGCTGTGAACTATGATGTCCCGACGTGGCTCAGTATTTTGGCATTTAGTATTAGACTTTCTCTTTCTGGGGATAAATTTTTTTGTGTTGCTTCTAAGTTGTTCATGCCCCTCTACTCTTTTTATTTTTAATTGACACATAATAATTATACATATTTATGGGGTATAGAGCAATACTTCTATACATATATACAATATATTCTCTTTCAGAATAAGATGTTTCAAAAAAGAGATTAAAATAAAGTCATCTGTTATAACAGATCCACTAAGGAAAAAAGAAACTGGGATTGTTTTTGGCTCAGGGAGGAAAATAAATGGGAATGGTTTTAATGTTTAAGTAGACTTTACTAAGTTATTCTATAGTGTTAGTATGGGTACATTACATGTAAAATTGAATGAACCACTTAAAATAATGTGGGAATAACCTACCAAATCCAGGAACACTCTTGAGACTGGCTTTGAGGCAAATTTTCTCCAACCTGAGGTAGCTATATCTCATCAGACAGTTCCACAGGAACATCCAGTCCATTCTTGTCCGATGGTTCATGATAATGACACTTCTTTCTCCAGGAACAAATGCATCACCTGTTATAATCACTTTTACACCAAACATGGTCTCCAACAATGCCTAAGGGGGGAAAAAAACCAACAATACAGATATATAGCAATTTAAAGTTATTATTTCCCACAGGTAAATTTTATCATGTCTTATAAATAAATCTTACGATTTTTAATATATAAAAGTAGAGTGTTTTCCATGATTCTTGCTTTTATAATAAATCAGGGAGGGAAAAGTTAACATAGAAGAATGAGAAGATAAAAGCACTATTTCTATTTTTAATTCTTTTACTAATTTAAGTTTCTGGCAGTTTCATAATTAAAGCAAGATTTCACTGTGTAATATTTTAAGGATATAAATATATAACATTATTACATTTTTTTCTAGAAAGGATAGTCAAAAAATTTAATGCTGGGTATAGAGCTGAAGAAACTGAAAGGTAAACTTTTCACTTTATACTTTTTTATACTATAATCTTTCCTAAAACAAACACATATTGGCTTTATTTTAACAATATATCACGAATAAAACACACATCTATTAAAATACTACAACCCTGGCACCTACAACAGTGCTGGCACATAGTGGATGCTTAATGCTCAAATATTTGCTGAATTTAATTAACTTTTCTGATGGCCAGGTATATAACATATACGAAATATTTAGAAACAAAGTATATTATAGACTGCAGTCTTAAAAGTAAAATAACAGATAAGAAAACTTCATTAATGATTTTGATCTCTTATTTAAATTCTCAAATTATTTACATGTAACAAATTTCCAAGTTAATATCTGACTTCACTATTAAGGGAAAGAAAATTGTTCCAAAGGCAGAAAAAAGATAAGAAAATTAAAAGTTCTCTTAGGCAAACATCATGATAACCTTGACCAAAGTATAGCATATAAACAAACTGTGGTATAGTCATACAATAGAAAATGATACAACAATGAAAATAAATGAACTACAGTACCTGCAGCACCATGAAAGATACATACAAGCATAATTCTGAGAAGCAGAACAAAACAAAAAAAAACATACAATAAATATCTATATATATTAAGTCTATATGAGACTTTCTATAATAGAAAAATTAAGGTATTTTAAAGGTAAATATAGAGAAGGTAAAATTATAATGAACAAGGAAATAAATATGTTAACCACTTCGGTACGGCACTCACCAGCCGCGAAACCTTGCCCACAGCCAGCACTCATATTCTGCACAATAGTTTGTGCTGTGCATTGACGATGAATCCGTTTTGCTCTTGTGTGATGAGGAAAGCTAAAGCACTGAAAGCTTGTTTTACTTTACAGGCAGCTTTCCTTGTAAATCAGATAGGTAACATATACATATATGTTTTCATTACATTATTTTTAAATGTTCACAATTTTATTTTGATAAATGAAAATTTAGAAAAGTCATATCACAGCTGTTGGCTAAAGTCGAAATTCAGCTGTGCACCTTCATATCACGGCTGTCGGGAAAGTCAATGTGCGCGTTCATCTGTGGCTATCGACTGTAGTCGATACTGGTACCGAAATGATTAAAAGTCAGATTAGGGACTATTAATATCAAAAAGGAGAGCATTCTGACTAGGAGTCTAGATTGCTGGAGGGCTGACAATATTCTACTTCTTGACCAGGCTGATAGTTCCACTTAAAATTATTCATTAAAGTGTGCATTTGTGTTTTAGTAACGTTTTAGTATGTTTGCTACATTTCATAATAAAAAGCATTTTTTTAAAAAATGTCATACAAAAGAGTAAGCCTATAAAAAATATAAGAATAAACAAGATCAAGAAAAAGAGGTTTAAAAATAATATTAGCTAAAGAAATATACTAAAAAACTTTAAAAGTCAAAAATGTTAAATGTCCAAACTGTTATTGTTGAGTGTTAACATCCTGACAGCAGAAAAGAAGATAATTTTGGCTAAAGAAGCTACAGATATCCTATAAGTTCCCATTAAGTTACATTTCCAGAGCTGAGGTTCACTTTCAGCATGGATAGTTAATCTGGCACCTGTGATGTTCTAGAAGAATGGCCTCCAAGAGGTCAATAAACATGCATTCCCTCTTAAACTGTATACAAAAAGTTGTGACTGTATACATAAGTACTCTGCTGGGTAAAATGCCTGTAGTTTTCATAAAATTTCAAAAGAGTTTATAACTGTTCAAATAATTATATCCCTACTCCACAAAGTTCTCTGTGAACTTCAAGTACCTACATGGAAAACTTCCTTGCAGAGAAGATCATGGCAGAGTCCTCTATTCTTAGACCCACAGCAAGAAATATCTTTTTCTACTTGTAAGTATAAAGGGCCATCAACTACAAAGACATTATCATTGAATTATATGTTTTGGCCCAAATGATATGTGTGAAGTCACTATCCAAGGCTAATTTGGATTACCTCTACTCTACTTTCCAAATATGATACACTTTTCAGTTTTTTCAAAGAATTAGAATGTAGAATGCCCTTCACTTAATTGGTAGAAAAAGGGAGGTGATTATTAATTATGTGTTGTACTATTGAAAAGAGTTAAAAATCTTAAGCCTATAAACCCCAAACCTCAACTCTAACCCTTTATGTGCAATTTCTAATAAATTAGAAATTGGATCTATGGATCCCAATCTGCTGCTTTTCATTATGGAAAATGTTAAAATAACATTTGTTATTTTATTTTATAAATGTTAAATAAATGTTGTAAATAAATAAATATAAATTTTAAAATAAAATCCCAGATTGTGTATCCAGGGGTATCTTACATGACATTCTCTCCCTTGACATCCAGCACTCTATCTGAATAAGCCTGAGATTATACATAACTTTTTAGGTAACTAAGATCTCAAGTTCATGTTAATCATTTTTAATACCAGACAAGATTATTTACAGCTCCTACAAAGGCAGAATAATAAATATACTACACAGAAATAAAGTTGATGTCAATAAAAAACTCCAGAATTCAAATAATCCAGATTAGAATACTGGAAAAAAGATACTATTCTCATATTTATACTATTTCTAGTATAGAAGATAATAGTTCTAGCAGTAAGAAACTAATGAATCTTACAAAAATTGTTAATGCATTATTTTTTATTGAACTAAGAGTAACAATTCTCATGATTTTTACCTAATTGGTCAAAGATTTCTCCTAGAGTCAGAAATAAAGAAGTAATTTTGGAGAATCTTTTATATACTACTACTTGCTACCTCCAAGTGTTCCATCATATATGAAAACACAAAGATGAGAGGCTTCCCTCACGATCACAAAGAATCAGTTTTGCCATTGCGTCCCTTGCTCTCACTTCTTGTTCCAGTGGATCTTTATTTAGTCTGAGGTAAGAGTAAGTACATGTCATTGCTCATCTCCAAGTCTGCTTTGGCTTTTCGGGCTAAGCTTACGCCCAGCTCCACAAATCCCTAGCTATTTGAGGCCTTACAATACCAAGTCATTCTTCAAACACTGAGCACCCACTTTCTTAAGAGCAACAGTATACACAAAAATTATATTCAGTAATCTGCATCTGTTGAACACCTGTTTTGTTCTAGGACTGGAATGGGATCAGAAAGCCATGGAACAGACTTGTGCACTGAGTTGAGAGTTACAAAATAATCTCTAAATTCCCAAGGCATGATTTATGGCAAAAGAACAGAATTCCAAGTAATTTTCATAATCCCAGGCAGCAATCAGACTGTTGGTTAGATTCAGAATTTTGAGAAATAAAAATTGCTGTGGGCACATCAGGGTTTGACACTTACGGTATCGATTATGTTGAACAGAACTGTAGAAAAATGAAATGAAAAAAGCCATGCACTCCCCATTATAGAAACTTCAAAAAAAAGGACTGGTCACCCAACAGTGTTCTAGAAGGGATTTCTGCACATGGGGAGGTAGGTTGGACTAAATGACCTCTAAGTCTCATCTAAGATTCTAAAATATTTTACTTCTATACTTCATTTAGCTAAGAAAATGTGCTTATTACAAATAGCAAAAGAAAAATCTTGCCAACAAAATCATTTTAATCCACGAGACAAACATACAAAAGAGAAGAATTTGTTATTATTTCTGTGAAGCAATAATTAGTTTAAGTACATTTATCCTAATTCATTTCTAGTTGAAAATTATTTTTAACGGTTTGGGGTTGCTTAAAATAATGTATACTCATAGGGGATTAAACTCCTGAATAATAAAAAAAACAGATGTATTCTACTATTTGCTTCAAAATAAAAAATCCTTTAGCACCTTGTAATAGTATGAAATAAATGATGACAAAAAGACACCCTTGGCAGTTATTCTCCATTTCTTTCAACAGAGATTTTCACTATCTCAAAATGAGAACATCAGTTTTTCTGTAACCTAACTAACTATAAGGGACTCAACTTCTATAAATTTCTTAACTGAAAAACTCTCTTTGCCCAATATATTGTGACTAGTAAACTAAACAGGTAACAGAAGTTTTAAAAGTAATATAATAATTGTACAGTGGTAGTTGAATCTTATCTATGTGTTAAGTTCTCAAATCAGCTAATAAGGTAAAAGTAAGAAATAGCTGAAATTATCCTTGAAAATCTCAGAGGAAGGTACCTCTCAAGAGCTCAACACATTATCAGTCCAGCTTAGCCAGCTTTTTCCCCATATGGGATCAGTTTGCTATTTCTCCATCAGATAAAGTGACTGATTTTCATGTTGTTTAAAAATATCTCTTTTTAAACACAAGACTCATACTCAGGAAATCACTCACATTTCCCATTTTATCTACATGAAGCAGGGAAAATTCATTCTCTTTCTTCTCCGCCCACTCTTCCATCACCCATCTTAGTGCATGTAATTGAAGTTATAAAAATGCTGTACAGGAATGAGGTAATTCTGCTGTAATAGTAATGCTATTAGCTAGTAGTAATATTTAATAGTAGCAAACACAGTTATTGCAGAATCTGTCTGGTAACTTGTCCGGTAAACACCAGCATTTCTTACAGAGTAACAGAGCTTTAATTGTGTATATGAATGCCTAGAAAAAAGACATTGCCCTGATTCTATTACAGCTTTTAGCTGCTCTTACCAATAGAGTAAGCAAAAGTGATATGTACAACTTGTTATGTGCTAGATCTGTGACTCACTAGTCTAAGAAAGTACTTGCTCTAGACTTCATCCCCTTCCTACTTTCTGCAGAGTGGGGCAAAAAGTGGCAGTGACCCAGGCTTGACCACATAGAAGAGGCCACTATGCCAGACTAGGTGGAGTAACAAAGACATCTGAATCCTTGGACAAATGACATCAGGGAGAAGGGCTACCTTGCCAACTTGGACCTGTATGTGAATACAGTTCCATCTTATGCAAACCACCATATTTTGAATTTTCTTTGGAACAGTAGTTTGGCCTGTTCCCCTAAAATAAATATAATTGCAAATATTTACTGTGTATGTACCAAATGCCAGGCATTGTATTAAAAAGGCTATATATTATTTTCTCATTTAATCATCACAAAAACTCTCTGAGGCAGGTAGGTAGTGGTTGCACTCCCTTTTATAGAGATCAAGAAACAGAACTTTAGAGAGGCTAAGTAGCTTAGTCAGTTCAAATGACTAGAAAGTGGTAAGGCCAACAGTGAAACCAATTGTCTATCTCCAATGCCTGTGCCAATAAGCACTCTGTTTATACTCTCTCTCTAAAGAAATTACATTGAGATGGCTAACCAGAGACACCAGCTGCCAGAATGTCTCGATAGGGAAAAGTTTTAGATGAAAGAGAAAAAATAAACAAACAGAGATCGGGTGTAATCCTGAGGGAAGAATGCCAGAACTTACAAGAAGGAGCAAGTTATGGGCAGAGATCAACCCCCAAGAGGCTTCGAGTCCAGCGAAAGGGGTATGTGGAACGTTTGTTTCTCTCACCCTCACATCTCTGAAAGTAAGCAGTCTCCTGAGTTGCTAAAAAGAGACTTTCTACACCCATGAGCCTAAAAGCTGCTGCCGCCAGTAAATTGAGAGCTTCTTGTGAACAAATTATCAAGCTCCCAACCCCACTGGGGGGTGGCACTTCCCATTACCACAGACCTGAAGCAGAAGAGCAGGCACCATACTGCTTCTCTACTCACTGTGTGCCTGCCCTCCCCAGGGGCCTTCAGCCCCTCAGCAGTATGTCTTGCTCATTCCCACACAAACATTTCCCAACTCCAGCCCACACTGCAGGAGCCACAGAGTACAGTGGGTACCAGAAAATCTGCGTGACCCCAGAGCCTGTACATTCTGGGCAAGCTGCCTCCATAGAGAGGGACAAAGATGACAAGAGTGCTAGCTTTTCTCCATCCAGACTCTTTTTAATCCCTTTCCCCTCCTTACCCATGGCTGCTGAGACAGACAACTGGGCCACCACACCAGGCCTTCCACAGAGATTGAGGCTCAAACCTTTCCTCTTAAAGTCCTGCAGTGGACTAAGGGGTGCTCAGATTGTGAGCTCCCTGCTTACTGGCCCCCCTGGTGCTGCATGCCTGGTTGCTCCATCAGAGCACCACACGCCCCAAAGAAGAGGGACATCAAACCTGCTTGTGCACCCTATAGGCAACTCAGAACCAGCATGCCTCTTCCTGGCATGGTCAGGGATTGATCTTTGGGGACCCAGAGGGCAGGCCCGCAGACCAGATCCTGTACCGACAGGAATCAATTGTGTTGCTTGCAGCACAGAGGGGACATCTGTGAACTAATCTAGGGAGGCAAGGGAGCTTGCATGGGCAGAAATGAGAGGAGAGTGCACTGTGGGTCCCAGCTGCAGCATCCTGCGTTACCATACTGAAATTAGTAAGAATATCATAGTTAGGATATAGGGGAAACAATATGATTATAAAAGATCTGAACAAGACTATCAACATTCTTGGCCTAATGGGTGTTTATTGAATACCACAGCCAACAACTGCAACATATAAGAACTCATAGAATGTGTGCCAGAAAACAAATTTCAATAAATTTCCAAAGACTGAAATCTTACAGAATATGTTCTTTGACCACAAAGTAATAAAATTAAAAATCAATAACCATAAAATAGCTAGAAAAGTCCCCAAATATTAGAAATTAAAGACCATAATTCTAAATAGCCCATAGATCAAAAAAGAAATCACAAGGGTAACTAGAAAATATTTGAAACTACATGATAATGAAAACACAACATCAAAATTTATGGGATACGGCAAATATAATGCTTAGAGGGAAATGTATATTTTTAAAGTTTGTAGTAGAAAAGAAGAAATATTTAAAATTAATGACTTACATTTCTACTTTAAGAAGCTTAAATTAAAAAAGTAAATTAGATCCAAAGTAAAAGACATTACATACCAGAAATCAATAAAATAAAATAGAAAAAAATTAATAAAGCCAAAGTTAGTTTTCTGCAAAAGTTAATAGAACTGATAAACTACTAGTAAGACTCATCAAGAAAAAAAAGAGAAATAATATTAGTAACAGAAATGAATAAAGGGATACCATCATGGATGCCACAGACATTAAAAGAATAATATGATGGAATATTATGAGTAAATTTATACCAAAAACTTGATAACTAAGAAAAAAAAGAACAAATGGACAAATTCCTTGAAATATATGCCTGACCAAAATTGACAAAATATAAAGTAGAAAATATGATTAGGCCAATTTTCTATTAAAGAAAGTAAATTCATCATCAAAATTCTTTCTACAAAGAAAACTCTATATTCAGATGGCTTAACTGGTGAAATCTATGTAATATGAGGAAAAACCCAATCTTATACAAATTCTTTCAAAAAACAGAAGAGGAGGAAACACTGGACAGCTCTTTTTATGAAATCAGCAAAATACTGATACAAAGGCTAGTATGACCTTTAAATTTTTTTGTTTATTTATTCATCCAACAAATATTATTATGTGCTTTGTTCCAGGTATTTCAGCATCCTATGCTTTTTTGGCTTCTCTAGCAAAAGAGAAGGCTTTCTATAACTATTTCTTGCCAAACTTTCCTCTTCCACTGTTAGGGAAATCTAGTACTGATAATGACTTTACTACTAGTTTTTTCTCAAGCCAGGCATTCTCTAGCTTGAAAGAACTCTAAACTTTCTTGTTTTGAAACACTCATCAGGTACCACTGAACTTCCCAACACTGGCAGTTGTTAAGGCTCTATTTGACTCTTACCAATCCTTGAAGTTTTTCCTATCATATAAGGCTTTATCATCAGACAAATTGGATTTAATCTCAGCTCTGCTTAACTAATTTGCTTACATGCATGACCTTGAGCAATTTATTTAATTTCTCAAAGTTTCTATTTACTCTTCTGTAAAGTGGTGATAATGGTGGCACTTGAAATGAAGCCATTCTCCCAACTAACACAGCATCTACCACTACATGATAAACAGCATCATTACCCCTGGGTTTTACTTTGATTTCTCAAATATTTCCCAATCAACCTTCATCCAAGGAACGGGCCAGCAGCATTAGCTTGGTACTTTCCTCTTTATAAGCATAACTTGGTAGGCAGTCTATGTATAGCGGTGGGGGGGGGGGGGGGGACTGGCAACTCAATTTTTAAAAAACAGGTAAAGATGATTATATTCCCCTTCTTGTTTTCCTTTTCAGGTATTATACTCACCACCTCTTTAAAATGACAAATCAGTAAGCCCAGTAACATTAAGTTCTAGCTATTGCTCAGGAAAAACAAGTAACACAACACTCTCAGGAAATATAACCTGAATATTCAAGGAAAAAGCAGCTACACACACCTCACTCAATTTTTGGAGAAGGCCTTACTGATTAGCAACAACAGGGAAGGTTGAAGCCACTTTCCAGTCTCAGAGGAGGAAGGAGTATAGACTAGAATTCTACAGGAAGTCATCAGCTCAATATCAAAGGGTTGTGCTCAGAGCAGGGTGCATTGACCACAGAGAATACCTGGGTATTCCAAGACTCTACTGCATATTTTGTATGCACTTTGACCTCAACAGATGTTGGTAACCTAATCTGACATAAGAAATCACTTTGTTCCTAAATTCTGTGATTACTGGAAAGAGAATCAATCACATCAATATCACGAGTTAAAAAAAAATTATGTGAATCGTCATTGTTTTGGGGGAAAAAAAGAAACGAAAAATAAAATTAATGACAAAATTCTTCAATCTGTACCTTTAATATTTGTGCATATTACTATATGTAAAGTATACCTCAGTGATGGAAAGTAAAAAAGAAAATACATGAAGAATATGGAAAAAACTTTTAATTCTGAATATAGTTCTTAATTATGTATTTTATTTCAAGGACATGAATTAATTTTATTTCTCTATAGTTTTCATATTTCCCCTCCTTTGAAGTCTTAATATGCCTCTTATATATCATAAAAGGCTTATGTTTCTTCTATAATCCAAATCTAACTTTAACAAAATCAACAGGTTGGGTTACTCTGGTACAAGCAGACAGTCTCCTTCTCTGGTGTGTAACTTACCACAGGTAGTGTGAGCCAGGTTGCCACAAGGCGGTTGTTGATCCAGCGATACCAAGATGGGTTTATAAACATCAAAGGTAAAAAGGGACTCAGCATGAAAATGCTTCCAAAAAAGCTTCCACAAAACAGAGTGAGTATAAAGTAAATCCCTTTCCATGACATCATGATTCTGAAAGATACATTTTTTAAAAAACGTTACATTTTGTTACTATACATTTAACTGCTCATATTCAATTTCAGAATGATGCATATAATAATCTTTAACTGCAGGGCCCTAAGAAGGCTATGATAAACAATATATTAATAAGAGCACAAATTTCATAGAGCTGACCACCCCCCTTACATTATCTTTAGGTCTAACAAGTTGCTAGTACATTAAGAAATTGATACTCTCAACAGAGTAAATGTCTGACCTACAAAAAAAATGTTGCCTACTGTAAGAAACCTTTGTTTTTTATCAAGTTATTAGTATTTAACATAAAATCAGATATTTGATTTTTCAGATGTTATCTAACACAAAATCTTAAAATGTCCCAGAGCCTTTTTCTACTCAGAAATAGACATAATGGACTAAGCATTACAGAACACTTCCTAAGGGTGGCTACAGTAGATTCATTTTATCAGAGAGGGTACATTCCAAGACCCCAGTACAGGCCTGAAACCTTGGATAGTATCAAACCCTATACATACTATGTTTTTCTCCAATACATACATACCCATGATAAAGTTTAACTTATAAATTAGGCACAGTAAGAGATTAACAACAAGTTATTATTAATAAAGTATTATGTAAAATAAGGGTTTTAAAAAACAGGTAAAGATGATTATATTGAACACAAGCATGACCCTACTGTGACAATCAGTCTGATTACTGAGACAGCTACTAAGTAACTGGGGGGGGGGGGCGCAGAAAGATGGCATAGATACTTCAGACAAAGAAATGGTTCAGAGATGACTCACATCCCAGGTAGGACTGAGAGGAATGGTGCAAGATTTCTTCATGTTACTCAAAACAGTGCACAATTTAAAACTTATCAGTTGTTTATTTCTAAAATTTTCATTTAATGTCTTCAGACCAAGGTTGACCCCAGGCAACTGAATGCTAGGTTAAGGGGTTACTACTGTACCTAAAAGCAGTGACAATTAAACAGAGTGCACTAATTTTTTTTTAAATCTAGAAATATTAATTCTTTACATTAGACTCTAAAAACAACATCGTAGGCGCTTGTTCTTAAACTGGCTCTTTATAAACTGAAGGGTTAAGTAGAAGTCAGACTCTTCATTGGCTTTACTAAACTATTTGCCAAAGGATTACTCTGGGTGGGGCGCAGGGAGGTGTCTTCAAAACCAAAACATAATAGTGATCTTTTAAAATAATGTTGGAAACATGGTCTAACAGGAATAATCATGCATTTGATTTTATAACCTAAACCTTATTAGAGCAAAAATACCTTTTGCTTTGGGATGATAAAATCGTTATAAACATTAAAACTATGAAAACGATAATAGCCTTAAAATTTATATATTAAAAAAAAGGTATTCCAGAGATCAAGACCTCTGAATATTTAAAAAGAACACAATAGGAAGCCAAAATAAAATTTCAAATGTCATAATGCATTTTAAAAATGTCAAACAACAAAACAAGTCAAATCCCTCACCAACCACAGAATCCCATTTATCTGGGTACTAAGTACATTTTCAAATCTCTACCAATACTTGACTTTGTGTACAAAACCCTCTTTAAAGTACAAACAGAATAAATATATACTAAGAATTGGCCTTTGCTAAATTCTAGATATAAACTTCTAAGAAGTGTGGTAAGAAAGTAACCGTGGAGAGAAAGACCACTGGAAAGCAGAAAGCCCAACAATCCCCAGTGCTCACACAGAGCTGTGCACACATCCTCAACTTTTCTTTCTCTGAGGCTCAGGCCCTCTTCTTTGCATTAAAACACACTACTGACAGCCTCTCCCCAGTCTTCTAGCTTGAAGCTTTCCTGGAGGGGGCGGGGGTGGGGGGGTGTTAAGAACCCTACAAACTTCTAAATTCAGTGGTTCTCAACCTCTACTTCCTTTTATCCCTGCCTCCCAAATCCTGCAATGCTGCACTCTATTTGAAAACCTTATAACCACCTTTTTCTAGCTACTACTTTTTCTGCTAATTAGCCATTTAGAAACTTATCCCTAAATCCCCCATAGAGCTACACTTCCCATTATATCCATATATAACTGCTACCCCCATCAAAGGCTCTGGCATTCTTCTTCCTCACCAATTTCTGACTTGACGTGATTGAAAGAAAAACAAATTATAGTTAAAGTAGCTTAGCTATCATTTAATAAAATCTTTTCACTTTACAGTAATGAAGCTGAGGCCCAGGAAAGTTAAATTGACTTTTATAAGGGCATACAAGTTACTAGCATCATTATCTTTTCTGCATACTGCTTCTTCTATCATGCTATCTCCCTCCTGCTAAAGTGCTAGGAATCAGCCCTTAAACATGTATAAATATTTAAACAAAGACTTAAACAGATATAAAAGGATGTGTCACATGAATATATGGGGATTGTTCAGACCAAAACCAATCTGAAATTACTTTTCTATCCTACACTCATAACTTTCTTAACCTTTCAATCATTTGTTCATTTTCAGTGATTTGATAAACATACAAAGATATCCCTACTGTGTCCCAGGCACTGTGCTGGTAATTTGGGGGTGCAACAGTAAATATGACAGACAATGCCAAGCTCTCACAGATCTAATGGTCTGTACATCGCTTCCTACACTGTTAGTGAGAATGCAAAATGATGTGGCCACTATGGAAAAGTTTGGCAGTTTCTTAAAATGTTAAATGTATACTTACTACATACCCCAGAAATTCCACTACTGAATATCCAGCACAAATGGGAACTTATGTTTACACAAAAACCTATACATAATTATTTATAGCAGCATTATTCATAATTGCTAGAAACTAGAAACAACCCAAATGTTAGTCAGAGAGTGAATGGAGAAACAAACTGTAGTACATCCAGCCAATGGTATACTACTCAGCAATAAAGACAAACTATTGATACATGCAACATCTTTAGTAGATCTCAAGTGCATTACGCTGAATGGAAGAAGGCAAACACAAAAGACAGGATACATATATTCTTTAGGCAATAAAATAAGGATGTTATAATTCTAAATTGAATTTTTAATACCTCATGCAAAAATCATTCTGAATTTTAGGAAGCCTAAGGCCCTGTGAACTTAATATTTATCTTACTATTTCCCAGCATCTAACATAATGTATAGCACACCAAAACTTGGGGAGGGGCAAGGAACGGGAGTTGCCAGCTTTTGCTGGAAGAAAATCTGGTAAAATAACTGATCAATTAAATATCTAACCTTTTAAAATCCTTTAAAATAAAAAATAAAAGCCACATCACTGAAAAGTAACTACAAATACTGCAAATTTAATATCATTGTTGTGTATTCTTTGTATAATACTAATAGCTTTCTTTTACAAAGGCCATTAGGAGAATAAGCATAGTTTAAAAATGGCATACACATTTTACTGCCAAATACAGACATACAGAAATAAATTGTAGATAATCCTGAAAACTATGCATATTTCAAGTATAACCCAACAACTTTTTTTCCAAATAGCTACTTTCCTTTCAGTAAATTAATATAATCTTCACTTACCTCACTAACTTCCTAGCTCATAATCTGATTCTGACTATGATGTTTGCCCATGATGTCTAACCATCTGTGGTTCAAATGGTTCCAATACCAAACAAAAGACAAAATAGAATACATGAACCAAGACATAGCCCACCTCAATTTCTTATTCAGTTGCATACATCCTTCCTAGAGTAGGACAGTGTGGGAGGACACTCCCTGGGAAGGATAGATGGAATCCATTAAGGATATTTATAATTTCTTGCTAAGGAAGAAAACATATTTTACTTCATAGAATCTTCTTAGTCATTTTATTCACAAAACAAGTCAAGTGTTAACAACTAGCACTGCTCTCCCAGTCTAGTGGGGAAGCTAAGAGTGAAAATAAATTATTACAATTCACTGATACGTGCTGTAATAGTGGTATAATGAGATATGCAACAGGTGTTAGGGGTAAATCAAAGCAGGCAAAATGAACTCTGTTAAGAGAGATTAAAGAAGGCATTAGACTCTTGGAAGATGAGTGTTTGGGATGGGAGAGAAGAGAATATTCCAGGCAATAACATGCAGAGTCACAGAAATTTGAAATACCATAGCTTTTTCAGGGAGCCATAACTCATTAGATATTACTGAGGCATAGGGTACACACTGGGGGGGGGGGGGCTGCAAGAAACCCCTGGGGAGAAAGTGCACACACCTAGGCCACCCATAGCCAAGAATACCAACTTTACCATGTCACTAGGAGTAGGAAAAAAACCTAAAGCATATGACTCATGATTTAGAATAAATGTTAAAAAGAAAAGATGTATATAGCATGGACTCAATCAGTATACAAACTGGTTTTGTTAAGAGCCTTCTCTAGACTTCAAAACAGATAGTACAAGGGACTTGTTGGCAAAAATCCCAGGACTGACAGATGCTGGCATCAGAGGTCTATGTGCCAGGAGTGAATGATGCAACTCCAACATTCAACAGCCAGATAATCATTACCACATTACTTAACCTGGCCACCTCACTTATAAAGTAAGGAAGACAGGAAAAATTCTCTCTAAGGCCTCTACTAACACAGAAACTCTAGATATAGGCTACCCTTTGGCCACCTAATATTTGTCAGGCACTTTATAGAGGACCATTGGTATTTATGTATTTAACACCTAGAGACTATTCATGAATGACCCAAAGGTAATTTTATTGAATTTTATTGAAACTCAAAAGCTTAATTGTGAACACTACAAGGCTGATGTCAAAAAAAAACCAATCATTTAGGTAGTAATGACTCTGACCAACTATCCTGTATGCTAATGTCAAAAGGCCTCTATTCTGTTCTATTTACTTCATATGCACTTCTTGGGGGAAGTTACATGTTACGGTAGATTTGTAAATTTTAGGTTTCAAAAGGACCTTGTTATATCCCTTGATAATGCCAAGTGTGTCCTAAAATAGGCACTTTACATTCTCATCTAATCCAAACAAAAGCCTCAAAAGTAAGGTATTGATTATATC